CTACAACCATTAAAGCTGCTGAACCCCTCGCCAGGGCCAGTGGGATTTATTTGGAAAAGCCTCCCCACGCCCACTCCTGCCTGTGGGGAGGTGCTGCGGGGGTCCAGAGATGAGCCCCTCCACCCCCAGGAACCAGGGCTGTGCTGGGAGTGCACACGGGATGCCAGGCAGGAAGGGCAGAGGCAAGAGGGGGGTGAGATGGGGCCTGGCTGTGGCACTGGGCACCCCAAGAGAGGGGTTCTGGGTGCTGTACCAGGATGCAGGACCACTCTGCAACCAGCACTGGGCAGGATGCAGCCCCTGCAGAGACCAGCTCGGGGCATGGGGCAGCACCAGTCCCCACTGCTGGGACAGCAGCCTGTGGTGGCTTGCTTGGGCAAAGCTTTTTGGGGCTTGGGGGGCTGGGGGGACCCACAGGGTCAGCTGAGGTGAAGCTCGGGGTCGGGCTCGGGGGCTCTGCCGGGCGGCGGGGGCGGCGCACGGAGCTGCAGAGAGGGAGAAGAGAGGGAAAGGGAGTGGGAGAGAAGTGGTGCCAACACGCTGGGGCCACTCATCCCCCTTCAGACCCTCCAAAACACATGGGTGGCTCCGTGACAGAAGGGCTTGGGCAGGCTTTGGGGTCACAGCATCCTTGTGAAGGGACTTACCGGCCGCAGACGCGTGGCTGCCAGGTCTGGAGAACTCTGCCCGCTGCCCGTGCCATCCTGCCAGCAACCTGGGAGGGCCCAGCAGCTCAGCCCGGCTTTCGGGGCTCCCCCAGCCCCTTCCCAGTTTCCCCAGCACTCACCTCCCAGCGCTGTCTCAGGAGCAGGGCTGGGGACCAGGCTGGCCCCGGGTGCCAGGCCAGGAGGGGAGAAGGGTGGAGGGGACGGCGATGGCAGCTCCTGGGAAGACACAGCCAAGAGGGATGGCGATGGTGGGAAGGGGATCTTCACCTTGGCACTCGTGGAAAATGAGGGGTTGACCGTGCCGGGGTGACACAAACCCCCTCCTGCCACCAACCTGCCCGGCTGCCTCCCGGGTCCCGGTGAGCTCCTCCACCACCAAGGAGGGGAAGACGCCGACGCGGCCGTCGAAGTCGCCGGTCCAGAAGCCATCGTCCACCTCACCGGCGGCGCGGGGCAGCACCCGGATGATGGCTCCCTCAGGGAAACTCAGCTCCTCGGGGCTCTGCCCCTCGTAGTCGTACAGGGCTCGCACCAGCCAGGCTGTGGGGAGGGTGGGGAGGGGGCTCAGCAGCCTCTGGATCCCGTCCCCCTCCCTGGGGTGGGGGTGACGCCCAGCACCCACCTCCAGGCTCCAGCACCAGTTCTGCAGCCATGATGCTGGAGAGCTGGCGCTGCAAGGCAGAGGGTCCTGGGGGGCCGAGCCCAGCCCCCGAGTCACACCCCAGGGACAGCAGGTACTTTTCAGGGACGTAGCCGACCTGCCCTGCCTTGTTTCGAGCCTGAGGAGGCAAAAACCACATGAACATCCCAGGCTCCAGAGCGGGGTTGGCCTGGGGACCTCCAAAACGTGTCCCCCTGTATGCAGGGGGGCTCAGCCTGCTCCCACCTTCACCCACTCCTCTGCATCCCCATCCTCGATGATCTCCAGCTCCTCGCCCTGGCTGATGGACAGCTCGTCCGCCTGGCAGCCCTGCAGGAGATGGGGACAAAGTGGCAGAGAGGCTGAGGTGCCATCCCTGGGCAGGCAGGGTGAGGGCCAGGCAGGCAGGGCCATACCTGGTAGCCAAAGATCACCCGGCAGGTGTAGGGGTAGGTGCGAGCAGCAGGCCCAGGCTCATCGTCCTCATCCGGCTCATCACTGTCCTCGTAGTCATCGAACTCGGCCGGGTCCAGCCCCGTGGGGGTCTCCTCACCTGTCCCCACCATGGTGGCCCCGGCCAGCCAGGCGTCCACGTCCAGCCCTGCCGCCCGCAGCAGTGCCAGCCGTGCCTCGGCCTTCACTCGGCTCACCTGGGGACACCACACACTGTCACAGTCCCCAGGATACCTCTGCAGGTGTCCCAACCCCGTCCCCAGCGTGGTGGCATCCCCAGTGCCACAGCCCAAGTGCATCATCCCAGCCAGTACCCCTCCCTGTCCCTACATCCCCCACTCTGGGGGTGACAGATCTTGAAGCCACCCCAAGCTCCCCGGCTGCGGGACTCACCTCTGCCTTCCGGATGTTTTCCCTCGCTTCTTCCATCTGCCGCTCCACGGCCGCCGCTTCTGCCTCCGGCCCCTGCTGCCGCCTGGCCTCCAGCCGCTGCAGCACCTGGCCGGGCACCCACAGCTCAGGGAGTGGTGGCAACCGGTGAGGGGCTGGAAAAAGCCTGTCCCTGAGCCCCCGGGTGCTCCGTGGGGCAGGACAACACCCACCTCCTCGCTGTGCGCCCTGTTCTTGTGGTCCCGGGCCACCCGCGTGGCCCAGCGCCGCGCCTCCTTCTCCAGGCTGGCCCCGTCGTCTGCTGGTGGCAGCAGGCACACCTGGGCAAGGACACGGGGGTGACAAAGGGGTGGCTGTGCAGACCCCACCTTGCTGTGATGACCCCCTCCACTTACCTCCTCCGCCCCGGAGAGCTGGAAGCGCTGCTCAGGCGCCAGGGAGAAGGCGGGGTGGTCGTGCAGGAAGAGGAGGAGGTCCTGCTCCCGGCACACCTGCAGCAGGGGAGCGGCGTGGGGCCGAGGGCTCAGCCATGCCCTCCTGTCCCAGCCAGCTCACGGGACAGTGCTGTTACCCGTGCAGACGCCTCCACAACACCCTGGAACCAGTCCCGGGTGGCCCGGCAGGTCTCCACCTCTGTCCGGCTGGCGGCCGACAAGTGCTCCCGGAGCCGCTCGTAGAGGTCTCCGTCCAGTGCCTGGGGGAAAGCGGGTGGGAACCCCCCCAGAACTGCCACATGGAGCATTCTTGATCCCCCCCAGGGCAGCCAGCCCTGGCCTTGTGCCCTCCCTGCTGGTTCCTTGTGGGATCTTAGGGATGGGGCAGGGGGGTCCAACCTGCATAGCAGTGGGCAGCTCCACACGCTGGTAATGCTCCAGGTGGGCAGAGGCAGACACCAGGGCAAAGCTGTACTCGTTCTGCACCCCTGCCAGCTGCCTCGAGTGCTCGGCCAGTCGCGCTGAGAACTTGTGGGGATGTGGACAGTGAGGCTTGGTGATGGTGCCCTGTGTCCCCCTGCATCCACCCACCCTGCCACCCCCTGCACCACCAACCTTGGCACTGAGCTTTTGCAGACTGGCCTTGGTGTGAAATATCCGCCGGTCGCTCTTCCGGAGGCTGGGGAGGACGGGAGAGGTGGGCATGAGACCATCCCACAGCCACAGCAGCCCCTGGGCCCTGTGCCCCCCACTCACCGCGCCTCCACATCGGCTGCCTTGTCTTTGGCCACCTCGCTGCTGCGCTGGAGGTGGCTGAACTGCTTCTTCGCTTTGTCCAGCTCCTTCACCGTCTCCAGCAGCTCCGCCTGCGCCTTCTGCAGCCGCTCGATGCCCTGTGGGGAGCGTCAGCTTGGGGGGACAGCTGTCCCCACCACCCGGGCACGGGGGACATGTCCTCGCCCCGGTACCTTCTTGAGTGTCCTCTCCTTGGAGAGGCGGGCGCTGCGGGCGGCCTCGGCGGCCAGGGCACGGTAGCTCTCGGAGGCGGTGACACGGACCTGCCCGGCGTGCACTGTCCCCTCGATGACGCCTTTCCAGACAGCGGCCACGCTCCTGCGGGCACAGGGTTAACGCAGGGCCGGGTACTCCCTGCCCCTTGGCAGCTTTTGGGGATGCCCAGCAGGACCCTGGAACTGGGGACATCCCACCCGCAGCTGCATCCTGGTGACACCCAAATGCTGGTTGGAATTAAATGTCTCCAAGTTGGGAGGGTCATGGATGGGGCACAGCCAGTCCCAGGTGATTGTCCCCAGTCCCGTCGCTGTCCCCAGCCCACCTGGAGTCGCCGGCCTCGCCACGGCCCCGCTGCCAGTCTCTCTTCATGAACTGGCTCGCCAGCCGCTGCAGCGCCTGCAGACAGACCCGGCATCACCGCCACTCCCTGACCCTGCCGAGCACCCCAGCACCCAGCACCCCCAAAACTGGGCTCCCCTACCCCAGCTGCCCACCCCATGGACCTGGGGACGTCCCAGAGCACAGACACACACATCCCTGTGGCTCAGTGTCAGCAGGAATCCCATTGTGCTCCCCATGAGAAAATGGATATGTGACACATGGGGAAATGTGGAGACATGGGGAGACTTTTTGGGGGGCAGCCACCACAATGAAAGCTCGTTGTGGCTTTTGGGACAGAGCACCTGCAAGGGGACATCAGCGAGGGACACTGGATACAGAGACAGAGGAACCCCAGCAAAGCCAAGCACAGCAAGACCCCAGCCCTGGGGGGACAGTCGGCCCCAGCCTGGGGCGCGTGAGGAAGGGGAGTGACATGGTGACCAGCTGCAGGAAGGGGGGACACAATTCTGCCGCAGGATGTCCCCAAGGGATGCTGCAGGGACATCTCACATCAAAACCAAACTCTGACATTTCAGAGCAGCGCCCTGCGATGACCCAGCAGACAGCGGTTTCCTCCCCCAACAAGGTTTTCTCTCCAGGCTCCCAAAACACCCAAGGTTTGTGCCATGCTGTGCTCAGCAGAGCCCCCAGCGGGTGCTGAACGTGGTCAGGGTCCTCCAGGCAGGATGAGCCATCTGCCGTCACCCTCCAGGGCCAGCACGGAGCAGCCAGGCTTGGATAATTTCTGAGGCTGCCCATTGCCTGCGTGGGGCCGTGCCCAGGCAGGCAGGATGAGGCCTGGGCCTCCCCAGGACATTGATCCTGAATCCCGTGGCATCTTCTTACCTGCCCATACTCCCTGTCAATGGTGGCCCTCTGCTTGCTGTAGGACCTGGGGGGAGAGGGGACACAGAGAGGGGCAGGGATGGGCCATCCCTCCCATCACCTCCTGCCGCCATCCCTCTGCCATCACCCCTTCCCATCTCCCCCTGCCACCATCCTGTCCCCATTAGGCCACCCCAGAGGGTGATGCAGCCCATGACCTCGAGGTGACAGGCTCAAGGTGAGCCGTGCCCGGTCCCTGGCCCAGCCGTGCCTGGTCTGAGCTTGGGGGCACACACAGACACACACACACACGCACACACACGGGACGAGCTGTTTCATCTCACTCTGGGGACACACACACACGGCATGAGCTGCCCGGTCTCAGCTCGACCCGGCTGTCACCCGTGTGGGCCGTACCTGATGTCCTCCAGCAGCTCGGCATCCCGCTGCTGTTTGCTCTGTAGGCCCGACAGCTGCTCCAGGAGATGGACCCGCAGCTCCTGGGTGAGCTTCACCTGCGGGATGGTCCCGCTCAGCCCCGGCGGGGATGGGCTGCGGGCTGCGCTGCCCGCCCTGCCCGGTACCGGTGCCCACCGAACCCCACTCCTGAGTGCCGCCCAAACGCGGCCTCGCTTCCCCAGCCCCGTGAGGCTCCGGTCACGGCTGCAGGACACGACAGCGAGGGAGGACCCGGCCGCGGTGACCCGCCCCATGGCTCGGCCTGGCCCGGCGCTCACCTTGCGCGGCGGCGGCTGCATCGCGGCGCTGCCCCGGCTCCGGTGCCGGTGCCGATCCCGATCCCGATCCCGGTGCCGGTCCCCGATCGCCGCCGCCCCGACCCGCGCGTGCTGAGCCCGGAACTGCCGGGCCGGCCTCGCCCCGCCCACAGACCACGCCCCCACAGACCACGCCCCACAAGCCGTGCCCCCAAAAGGACACGCCCCTAGACAAGACACGCCCCTAAAGTGACCCCGCCCCAGATTAGGCCCCGCCCACCAGGCAACAGACGGACACGCCTCAGACCACGCCCCCCACCCGGAGCCGCGCCCATTTCATTGCGCGACAGGGAAGCCCCGCCCATCGCCCCCAGCGGGGGCTGCAGCGCCGCCTGGTGGTCGGTGCTGCACGTGTGGGCGGGGCGATGGGATGGGGGACAGAGGACACAGGGACACGGGGACATGGGGACACGAGGACATGGGGACATGGGGACACGGGGACAGTGGAACATGGGGACATGGGGACACGGGGACATGGGGACATGGGGACACAGGGACAGTGGAACATGGGGACATGGGGACACAGGGACACAGGGACACGGGGACACGGGGACACGGGGACATGTGGACTCAAGGAAACAGGAGAACAGGAACATACATGAGTAAGACGAGGACACAGGGATATGAGAGATGGAGATGTGGGGGCACAGGATCACAGAGACATGGGGTGATAGGGAGCACTGTCCTTGGGCAGGGAGACATGGGGAGTGCTGGGGCTCACAGCCCTGGGATCACTGAGAACTGAGTTCTCCTGCATGAGGACGCACAGGACACTGGTCCCAGGATGTGGTGACACATGGGGTGTTGGGGCACTGGTCCTGGGATGCAGGGATGTGTGGGACAATGAGGGGACAGTCCCCAGCACATGGATGTGTGGGGTCCCACATCACATGGAGGACACAGAGCCCCTGGCTTGCCACATGGACATGGGCATAGAGCTGAGCAGAGGCATTCAGTGGGGGCCACCTGGAATCATGAGGGACCCCCAAGCAGTCCCTGTCCCTCTGTTCCCCTGTCCCTCTGTCCCCCTCCCAGTCCTCCCCCATTCCCTTCATTTCTCACTTTCTGTCCAGGTTTTTCTCTGTCTTCCTGCACAGCTTATGGCTCTCCCCACAGTCCCATTCATTCCCATCTTTCTCTTCCCATGGCATTTCTGGGGTTGGCTGCACATGTCCTGGTCCCCCCAGCACGAGCCCAGCATGAGGCTGGGCTGGGGATGTGTCACTGGCTCTGTTATTCCCCTTCTTAGCCAGGAAAATAGACCGGAGGTCACTCAGACACCCACTTGGTGACAAGAAGGGAACAATGCAGGGAGGCCCCATCTACACCAAGCTGTGACACCAGCTTGTCAGCCTGACCCCAGTGATGGCTCCTGGGCATGTCTGGTCCTGGCAGGGCTGGGCAGGATGCCCAGTGCCCTGGAGTGCTGCAGTGTGGCAGGGACACATGTCACCAGGCTGGGCACTGGCTGCCACCCTCCTGTCCCACACACCGGGCACAAACAGCTCCATCTTCCCGCTGTGGTTCTCCTGTCTGCCCCCAGTTGTCTCTTGCCCACTTCCTCCTTCTCACGGTTGTGTGATGGCAGCTGGAAATCTCTCCCCCCTCGATGGCTGGATCCCCCGGATGCTGGCGGTGGTGACAGCAGGGCTGTGGGCACGACATGGCGTGACGTGGTGGAGCCAAAGGGAGGTGTCAGCAGGGAAAGGGACTGGTGGCAGTCCTGCTGTGTCACCAGCCCCGTGCCATTTGTGCTGGCCCGGCTGGCTCAGTGGCTGCTCCACAGAGATGTCCTGGCTGGTGCTGTCACCTGCTTCTGCTGCTGCCTGTGTCACCCTCCTGCTCGGCTGTGCCTGGTTTGGCTCTGCCACCCAGCCCTCCTCAGGTAAGTGCCTTGGTGGGTCTGGGAGTGGTGGGGTAGGGCAGGGACACCTCACTGGGACACCCCAACATCACGCCCCATGACACTTGGAGGTGATGGCTGGATGTCACGGGGAGAGTTTGGGGCCCCGCTCATCTGCCTTCCCTCAGTGTCCACATTGAGAATCTGAGTGAAGACCTGAAACCCAGAGACAGCATTTCCCCTTTTGGCAGCAAAATTCAGATTACTGCTCTCGTAACCTGAATTTTCCATCCCCTGGATGTGGAGAGGGGGCAGAGGTTGTGGGAGACAACCAAATGCAACCAAAGCCCCCCGGGGTAGGGTGTTCTGGGGACCATCAGGATAGAAATTCTGGAGCTGGGGGTGATGTGCAAAGCCTGTATGGCTTTTTTTTTGAGAAAGCCAGAAAAGGGATTTGGTCCTGAGTTGTTTCTCTGGTAGCTGGGGCCTTCCTGTTCTTCACTTTTGCTCTTTGCACATAGCGAAAAGCCCCTGACCACAGGAAGAGGAGATGTCTCTGGCTGTGGTGGGGAGCTGAGCTGGGGAGATGGCTGGGACTGTCCCAGCCCTGCGCTGCTGTGGGTTTCCCATCTGCCCTCCTGATCCCGTTGTGCTGGGCTGGGTAGGACAAGGGACATCAGCAGCTCCAGGGATGTGGGAGCAGAGCAGGGCAGGGCTGGGCTGGCACCGCTGCCGTGGTGGCTGGCACAGACTGTGGCTCTGCAGGGCGAGGGCAGCAGGATGCTGGGGGCTCCCCTGGTAGGGGACAGGGAGATGCCACCTCCTATGTTCAGTGGTGGCTCTGCAGGGAGGGGTGACAGCTCCTGCTGCAGGCTGAGCCTGATGCCTCGTGTCCCCGCAGCGCTGGTCAGAGGGCGATCGCTGCTCCGCCTCACTCCCCAGGAGAAGAACGTGTGCTCCCAGGCCTCCGAGGAAGATTTTCTCAACAGTACCCTCAGCACCCGCCTCCTGCCTGCCCTCTACTCCATGGTGCTGCTGGTAGGGCTGCCAGCCAACGCTCTGGCCTGCTGGGTCCTGGCCACCAACTTCAGGAGATGCTCCAGCACAATCTTCCTGCTCAACCTGGCTGGGGCTGACCTGCTCTTTGTCCTCCTGCTGCCCTTCAAGATCTCCTACCACCTCCTGGGCAACCACTGGCTCTTTGGGGACTACCTGTGCCGCACCATGGTGGCCTTCTTCTACGGAAACATGTACAGCTCCATCCTCTTTCTCACCTGCATTGGCCTGGATCGCTACATCTCCGTGGCGCACCCGTTCCTGTGGAAGGGCTCCAGCTGGATGAGGGCCAAGGTGGGCATCTGTGTGGGCATCTGGCTGGTGGTGGGGCTGGGCATGAGCCCCCTGCTCTTGCGCTCCCACACACACAACATCTCCAGCCTGAACATCACGACGTGCCATGATGTGCTAGAAAAGGAAACCCAAAGGTTCTTTGGCTACTATTTCCTGTCCTTGGTGGGGCTGGGCTTTGGCCTGCCCTTCGTGCTCATGACCGTCTCCTACAGCTGCATCCTGGCACGGCTGCTGGCCAAGGGAGGGAACCACCAGCAGGTGGTGCGTGTCCTGGCCCTGGTCCTCATGGTCTTCATCCTCTGCTTCACGCCCAGCAACGTGATGCTCTTCATCCACTACCTGCTGGAGCCCACGGGGTGCAACAACAGCACCTACATCTCCTACGCCCTGGTCCTGGTGCTCAGCGCCTGCAACAACTGCTTTGATCCCTTCATCTACTTCTACGTCTCCCAGGATTTTCGGGGCTGGGTCCGGGATGCAGGAGGCCGTTGCCTGCAGGGGCTCGAGGCCTCGTTGGGGAGGTCCACAGAGAAGATGGCCCTGCCCCTGAGGTCCAGCGGGCAGAGCTAGGGCTGCCAAGCTGTGCCCCCATGCCTCGGGGATGAGGGAGCCTGAAGTGTGCCCACCACGAAGGGCTGGAAATAGACTTGGGAAAAAATTCCCACCTGGATCTGGGGTTCACGAGGATTTTGCCTCATTTTTGCTCCCCTGATGACAGCAGCGCTGCCCAATCCCATGGGACCCCCAGCTGGGTGCCTGGCACCCCGATCTCCCCATCTGCCAGACCCTGGCATCCTTCACCCCTCCTCCTGCAGTGACCAAACCCTCCAGAGTACAAATAAACCTTTATTTCTCCCTGCTGGTGGCAGGAATAGGTACAAACACCCTCGCTGAGGAGGGGCTGCCCTCCATTGCCAGGACTACACACCGGGCACACACGGCCAGCCCTGCTCCTGCTGCTCCCCCTTTCCCCCCAAAATTCGCCACAGCGGATGCAAGAAGGGAAGGGGGGGATGGCTTGGGTGTCCTGGCCCTGCCCCGCAGGCCCAGCACTGGAGAGGGGACATGCTGTGCTCCCCGTGCTGGCAGGCATCCTGTGCCGCCTGCCTGGCACGGTGCCGTGCTGCCAAAACACGCGGGCACCACGTTCCTGCTTTTGTTTTCCCCCTTGCTTGCGTCCCTCGGTGCTGGGCCCGATGACAGATGTGCCACCCATGAGCAAGGGCACAGGGGGCAGCAGTCCCAGCCCTCCCCCCAGGGGGTACCACGGCCCAACATCCCGGTTGCCACTTGTCCCTTTGGTTCCTGATCCCAGCCTGGCTCCGGGATGAGGAGGAAGAAGAGCGTGGGGGTTCCATGACGTGGGAGTGTGGGGTACCCATCATCTGCCTCTGGGGTACCCATCATCGCTGCCACCGGGCATGACTTGACCCCCAGGTCGGTGGCCACCCCTTTGGCCCAGCAGGTCACGTCACCGGCTGGCCTGGCCCTGGGGGTTGGCCATCGCTCTTCCTGAGGATGACACTGCTGAGCTCCTGGATCAGTTTGTCACTGATGGGTGAGGGAGGCTGCAAGCTCCTCTTCCTGGGCAGCTCTGGGGTGGTCTCTGCCGTGGGGCTGCTCCCTGGTGTGGCTGCCTGCTCCCAGTCCCTGCCCAGCGCCAGGGAAGGCTCCATGTTCCTCTCCAGAGAGGATGTTTTGGTGGGTCTGAGCCCCAGGGCTGGAGCTTTGCTGCTCTCCAGGTTCAAGCCCCTCTCGAGGGACACGGCTTTGGTGACAGAGGGACCTGTCACCCTGTGGGCTGGGCTGGCAGGCAGCGAGGAGCGCAGGGCAGTGCCTGGAGGCTGCTCAGGGAACGGAGATGGCTTCTTGGACCTGTCCACAGGGGGCATGGCCAGCTCTGCCAGCAGCTCCTGCCCCAGGTCCAGCGCCGCCAGCTCGGGGAAGTTCCCCACTTCCTCGTAGACAGGATCAATGTCTGCCTCCTTCTCCTGCTGCTCCTCCAGGGAGTCCTGGTGGATCTTCATGGGCTGAGGAGGGCAGGGGGCAGGGTGAGGGGCAGTGCCCACACAGCTCAGCTGTACCCCCGTGTCCCCCTCACCCTGCACTGCCTCACCGTGGGGCCGATACCCGCAGGGGACCCTCCCTCCACCGGGTCCTTGGCTCAGGCACTGCTGCCCTTCCTTCCCCATGGCTGAGGAAGGGGTGTTTGATCCCTGCCAGGCATGGTCCGTGCCACCAGCCCAGCACCCCTCGGCAGAGGGTTCCGGGGTGGGGCAGCAGGTGGATGCCACACAGAGCACAAAGCCAGGTGAGATGAGGTTCAGCCTGGTGGCCTTTTTGGAAATAACCTGATGACAAGGCACACCTAAACCTCTTTTCCTCACATTTCTTCTGCTGATACCCTATGGGCAACGTGTGCCCAGTGGGAGAGGCTCTGGGAACTGGGCAGGACTGATGTGGTCTTGCTTGCGTACACTGGGACCGCGCAGGGACCCACACCCCCAGGCAGGGAACACGCAGAGCAGTGGGCACACAAGGTGGGCACATCTCCAAGTGCCCGTGGAACACTGCAGGTGAGCCCTGGCACTGTGCAAAGCCAGCAGGAGATGCTCCACGTGTGCAGGTACTTACAAAGAACATGGACAAAGTCCTTCGCGTGTGCAGGCGGCGCTAGAAACAGAGGAGACGGACAGGGGTGAGCACGGAGAGCTCGGAGCAGGGCCACGGGTGCCTGGGCAGGCAGGGGAGGGGCAGAGGCTGCAGGAGCCTGCAGGCACGGAGAGCTTGCCACGGACACGGACACAGACACGGACACGGACACGGACACGAGCATGGTGCACACAGCACCCGTCGGTGCAGCAGCCCCTCCAGCCCTGAGGTGGGCACAGGGTCTTGGGACAGGGACAAGGAGCAGGATGGGCACAGGAGCACCTGTGGGCAGGGGGAGCCGTGGGGGCTTTACCAGGGTTTGGTTGGCAGAGAGCATGGTGGCATCAGTGCTGTCCCCGTGCAGGGGCACCAGTGGCATTGTCCCGAATTTCTGCTTGGCGAGGTCGGAGGAAGAGCGTCGGCGCAGGACCACAGGGCGCAGGTCGTCGTGCTGTGCACAAGGACAGGTGGGGATGGGGGTCATGCCCTGCCAGCCCCGTCCCTGCCCTGCCCAGCTGGGTGGCACCACCAGCCTGCACCCACCTGAGCCTTGAGGATGCTGGTGGTCCAGTCCCACAGCTCAGCCTGCCCTGAGCACACCAGGTACCTGCAGAACAAAGAGTGGAGAAGCTGCCAGGGAGTGGGGACAGTGGGGCCCATGTCCCCTTGTCACCTTGTCTGTGAGCCTGGGGCTCTCAGGTTCATCTACACCCCATGGAGCTAAATCTCTGCAAATCTCTGCATGCTCAAATTGCTGCTTTAGGGCAAGGTGAGAGATTTTTGGGCACCCAGCAGCCCCCAGGGGTGCTGGTGTGGGTGAGGAGGCAGGAAGGCTGTGTGGCCCCTGGAGCCTGGCTCCCATCCTGTGCCAGGGACCACTCTGCCTCTCAGGTGCCCCAGCTCTGCCCTGACCCCAGGGCCTTGAACCATTGCCCCTGGCTGTCCCACTAAAAGTGGGGACAGATCTTGACCTCCCCCAGCCCCAGGACAGGAGGGGAAGGTACTCACAGCTGCTGCTTGTCCAGGGTCAGTGTGAAACCCCACCTGGAAAGGAACACAAACCTGTAGGGCAGCACTGCCAAGCTCAGACACAGCCTGGGGTCTGTGGGCAGTGGGGCAGGCGGCTGAGCTCGCCCCATGGGCACAGGCTTTGGGTCCAGGCAGAGCCTGGTGTACTCCAGCAGCCAGGCTTGGGTTCCAGGAGCAGGGACTGAGGGATGGATATCTGCCCCAGGACCAGGGCTCAGAAGGTCCCACTTACTGAGCTGGTGGCTTCAGCTTCTTCCTAATGCCCATGTAAATCTTGGCTGTGTCCAGGGACCACTCACGCTCTGGCTTGGCACTCTGGGAAAGGACATCCCGTGGGTCAGCCCTGCTCGCTGCCAGCCTCCCTGCCAGGAGGACAGCCACCACTGTGCCGCTGCTGTCCCCAGGCTCCTCCTCCCTGCCTCTCCTCCCAGCCCTGGCGCTCAGGTCCATCCCACAGCATCCCCCAGTACCCTCTTCTCCTTGAGCAGCAGCAGCCTCCTGTCCCGGATGACGAAGTAACGCTCCTGAAACTTGTTCCCCAGCAGCTTGGGGGGCTCCTCACGGCATTTCAGCAGCCCACACTTGGGGGTCTCACGCTTGGCACCTGTCCAGTGTGGGGACATGAGGGTCAGGAGGGCTGGCAGTGTGGGATTGCAGGGGTGATGTGCCCCTGATGGCTGCAGGGTGGTGAGCAGAGCAAGGGGAAGCTCAGGCAGAGCTGTCCCCCTCTGGGGACACCTCTGGGTCCCTTTGTGCTTGCCTTACCTGTGAAGAGGCAGCTGCCCTCGCCAATGGGCACCTTCCTCACCAACAGATACGCGGCGCTGGGCTCCGGGAGCTTGCACCACTGCAAGGCCTGCTCCAGCACCTTCTCCTTGGGGTGCAGGGGCCGCTCTGGGGACACAGGGACACGCTCACCACTTCGTCCCCTTCCCTGCGCCAGTCCCCTCTGCCAGTACCAGAAAGCCACCCACACTGCCCCCAGCCATGCCAGGAGCATCCCCCTGGGCCACCCCCCGTGCTCACCCAGCTCCCCGTTCTCCAGTGCCTCAAAGGTCAGCCAGATGTCCAGGCTGGCGGCCACGTTGCGCATCTCCAGCACCTGGTTGGTCAGTTCCTCTGCTGTCATCGTGGGGGACACCTGGGGCAGGACACACGGGGAGCTGCGCTGGGTGGTGCAGGATGGGTCCCAGGATGCCAGGAGCCTGCATCCCTCCTCACCAGAGCATGGCACAGCCCTGCTTTGGGACTCACCTTCAGCGTGACGCAGCAGTCGGGCACCTTCTGCTCCAGGTAAACCTCGATGATGAGGTCCCCTGCCTGGGAGAGCTGTGGGGAGAGCGGGTGGTGTTGGTGCTGGTGTGGGTGCTGAGCACATCCCACCTTCCCGAGGGCTGGAGATGGTGTCCTGGGAAGCTGGGGCTGCTTCTCCCCTGGGCAGGATCCTCAAGGTGATGGGCACAGCGGAGATAAGAGAGGGAACGTCCTTTCCCAAATGTGGATATGGGACAGTGGGGACCCAGGGTGGGTGGCTGGGAGTGTCCCCATCCCCCAGTCAGTCCCACCAGGCCAGGGGTCCCTGGTGTGGTGGGGGACAACCAGCACATTCCCAGTACCTGGGTGTCCTTCCAGGTGGTGATCAGGCTGTTCTCCAGATCCATCTGGGATACCTGATCCTCATCAATCTGCCGGAGGAAGGGTGCACAGGGTCAGTGTGGAGCAGGACATGGCTTGAGGACACAGGGCCATGCGGAGGGATGCAGCGGGAGGCAGAGGTGGGCAGGGGGATCCAAGGGGGTCTGGCTCAGACCCAGGCCCTTGCTTACATTGAAGATGCTGACGTAGTTGTCGATGAGATCTTCCATCACCTTGACCTCGTGCTCCCCTTT